GTTGTGGTGGGCGCCTGTAGTCCCAGCTACTTGGGAGGCAGAGGCAGGAGACTCGCTTGAGCCCAGGAGTTGGAGGTTGCTGTGAGCTGTGACACCCTAGTACTCTAGCCTGGGGGCAACAGAGTGAGACTTTGTCTCAAAAATAAACAAACAAACAAACAAATATCAACTGTAAGCACCTGTGAGCCTCTCTATCATCTTGCTCTTGTACTGTTGAGGTGGAAGACTGAGCTCCATCATCGCTGCCATTGGTTATTCTTTGGGCAGCATCTTTAGATTGTTTGGGTCCCACTTTTTCTGGGGCATTATCAACAACTATATCCTTTCCCAGGTCTTCACTATAAAGGATTTTTTCTTTTTCTTTCTTTCTTTTTTTTTTAGACAGAGTCTCACTCTGTACCCTGGGTAAAGTACCATGGTGTTATATCTCACAGCAACCTCAAACTCTTGGGCTCATGTGATCCTCTTTCCTCACCCTCCCAAGTAGCTGGGACTATAGGCACCTGCCATAATACTTGGCTAGTTTTTCTATTTTTAGTGGAGAAAAGGTCTTTCTTGCTCAGGCTGGTCTCAAACTCCTGAACTCAGACAGTCTACCGCCTTGGACTCCCAAAGTGCTAGGATTACAGGTGTGAGTCACCACTCGTATAGTTGTGAACGTCATCTGCTTGAAGCTGGTTGCCATTTCTGATTCCAAATTCTGATGATTTTCTGTGATTATTAGCATCCTCTGAAGATACTAGTATTGTTCCTTTGCCATCTTCCATTTGGTCATCTGGTACTATGATAGCAAAATTTTCTTTCACTATCTTATCCTGCAAGGTGAGAATAGGCACTGTATGGACATTCAATCATATTGTCACCTCTATCTTGCTGGCACATACATAACAGTTGGGGTTGGGAGGATCCAATGCATAAGGCACAAGGAGCTTCTTTCATGAGTTTGGTTGTTTATTCAAAAAAATTGTTCTATATTAGTCTATTTGTCCTGATAAAATCTTTGACCCTTCCAATACTATCAACCCAGCAATCACTGCATTGTTAGTGGTGATAGTGGGAATACTATTTCTTGCCATTGGTTTTATATCACATCTGCTCTTCACACTCATACTGAAAATACACATCCTGAGATTTGCAGCAGAGGTGAGAAAATCCATTGCAGGCAGGTCATCCCTATCTCTTTTAAGCTCAGCTCAGTTCCATCCCCCTTTTCTGCTAAATGAACTCTTAATGTCTCAATGCTTTTTTTGTTTGAGCCTAGCCCACAGCAACCTCAAGTTCCTGGGCTCAAGGGATCCTCCTGCCTCAGCCTCCTGAGTAGCTGGGGCTCCTGGACATGCACCACAGTACCTGGCTAATTTTTCTATTTTTAGTAGAGATAGGGTGTTCTTGTTGCTCAGGTTGGTTTTGAACTTTTGAGCTCAAGGAATCCTCCTCCCTCAGCTTCCCAGAGTGCTAGGATTACAGGCAGTCTCAATGCTTTTTGGAAAAAGACTTGCATAGCTCTTTACACCCAGAACCTCTGGTTTTTCAGGCCTATCTGTAGTCCATTCTGTTGATCTGATGCATTGGTTTCCTCTCTCTGACTTAGTGCTTTAGCCCAGTCCAAAGGAACTGGAGGTTTCCTTTTTTACCATAGTTTGTCTATGTTAATAGATACCTGATATCATCTTTAAAAAGGTTGGTAAAATGTTTTACTGGATTAGATCCAGTTTATTTAGCCCACTTATTAGCGTAAATATGTTTAATGTCTCCATCTTGATGAGATGCTTTGGCTCTGGCTTTGGCTTCTATTGGTTCCAAAGTGGTTCAAGATCAGCTCTTTCAGGAGATACTTCTTAATCAGCATCTTCCTCCCCAAACAACTGGTTAGACAAATATTTTGTTCAAACAATGCAATGAATAGGTTCTGAAGGTATGTTACAAATTGTACAACCAGGAAAAGTTCTCTGGGTTGGCTTAAGACAACATTTATAACCCTCAGCCACAACCTTTTTGGTAGTATCTTCCTGTCCAAGATAACCAGTAGTTCTACTCTCAAAAATGGGTGGTGCCCGTGGCTCAAGGAATATGGTGCTGGCCCCATATACCAGAGGTGGTGGGTTCAAACCGAGCCCTGGCCAAAAACTGCAAAAAAAAAAAAAAAAGAGGGACATGAGCTATCAGACACATCTTTTTAACATGATTTCAGGCAGCTCTGTTATCTAAAGTATTTATTACCAGTATAAGCTTTTGAAAAAATTCACATTATAGTCAAGGTTCATGATACTGTCGTGGTAGGCAATGATATTAGCTTTTGGGTAAAACTGTGGCCGGTGCAGTGGCTCACACCTATAATCCTAGCACTCTGGGAGGCCAAGGTAGGTGAATTGCCTGAGCTCATGAATTTGAGACCAGCCTGAGCCAGAGCCAAAACAAGACCTCATCTCTAGGCAGCGCCCATAGTTCAATGGGTAGGGCACTGGCCATATACACCAAGGCTGGCAGGTTCAAACCCAGCCTGGGGCTGCCAAACAACGACAACTGTAACCAAAAAATAGCCAGGCATTGTGGCAGGTGCCTGTAGTCCCAGCTACTTGGGAGGCTGACACAAGAGAATCACTTAAGCCCAGAGTTTGAGGTTGCTGTGAGCTGTGACTCCATGGCACTCTACCGAGTTGACACAGTGAGATTCTGTCTCAAAAAGAAAAAACATCTCATCTCTAAAAAAAATAGCTGGGCACTGTGGTGGGCTCCTGTAGTCCCAACCACAGGACTGGGAGGCTGAGGCAAGAGGATTGCTTGAGCCCAAGAGTTTGAGGTTGCTGTGAGCTATGATGCTATGGCACTCTACCAAGGGTGACAAAGTGAAACTCCATCTTGAAATAAATAAATAAATAAATAAATAAATAAAACTGCAGTATGCTTTCTTTTGCAACCTGTGCTTTTAAGCTTCCAACATGTTTCATTTGAAACAAAAACTGCCTTGGTGTATGTGGCCAGCGACCTACCCACTGAACTATGGGTGCTGCCTAGAGATGAGGTCTTATTCTGGCTCCGGCTCAGGCTGGTCTCAAATTTATGAGCTCAGGCAATGCACCTATCTTGCTAACATTGATATTATCTAGATCAGCAGTTCTAAACCTGTGGGTCGTGATTGTATTAAAGGGCCCTAGCATTAATAAGGTTGAGAACCACTGATCTAGATCAATCAGGTCAATGTCAGAGAAGCCAGTGAGCACCAGGTTCTTGAGGAGCTTGTAGCCAGTTCTGCCTGTGCCCACAACCTGGTCCTCAGCCATGGCCTCAGCCAGTTCCCAGGGCAGCCTCTGCAATAGTGCCATGGTGGGATGATCACAAGCTGAGCCACTGTGGAGGCAAAAGAACTCTTGTTTATTTTTTATTTATATATGTTTATGGGATACATGTGTAATCTTGTTACACTATCATACCGCAGTGTGGCATATTCAGGGCCCACATCAGGATTTTTTGACATATTGTCAAAAGACATTCCAGAAGGGCAGTGTCTTATTATACTCAATAAGCATGAGTTAGCCATCATTTAACTTTTTTGTGTGGCCTATCATTTAACTTGATGGACAAAATAATGGTATCTCATTAGTGAAATAATTACAGTATATAATAATTAAACTTGAATAAAAGCCCAACAGAAACTATTTTAGAGAGTTTCTGTGAATAGAAGTTCTCTTAATTCATCATCCCTTCTGAGAATGGTTTCTAGATAATGTAGGTAAAATAGACATGTCAAGCAAACTAGACAAGGCAAGGCCAAGTAGCCAAAAACGCCAGCTCCCTGTGGGTCATGTTCTACACACCTAAAGTGACGACACTAACACAGAACCCAGTAGATGAGTAACTTTTGGCTACTCTTCCTCTCACTTTCTATGTGAATAATAAAATATCTGGATCTAAAACGGAGCTAGTTTTACTGAGGAAATCAATCAGGCCTTGGCCTTGGGTGACCTTGCCTTTTTTTTTTTAAGATTTTATTTTATTTATTTATTTATTTATTTTTTATCAGAGACAGAGTCTCACTTTGTCACCTTTGGTAGAGTGTTGTGGTGTCACAGCTCACAGCAACCTCAAACTCTTGGGTTTAAGCAATTCTCTTGCCTCAGCCTCCCGAGTAGATGGGACTACAGGCACCCACCACAATGCCTGACTATATTTTAGAGATGAGGTCTCACTCTGGCTCAGGCTGGTCTCGAACTCATGAGCTCAGGCAATCCACCTGCCTTGACCTCCCAGAGTGCTAGGATTACAGGTGTGAGCCACTGTGTCCAGTCCTGATCTTGCCTTTTGAGTTTGACAAATTATAGAAGAGACCAAAGAAAAGTGTAAAGAATATTTATGTGGTTGAACAGTGAGTTGGAACATGGACATGGTATTCGTATAAAATATAAACACACAATATCTCTGAGTGACAAGGCTTGCTATGTTTTGTGGTTAATTTTTTGTGTTTCCTTTGTGGGGATTTGGGAGTTTTACTCCCCACCTCTCCAAGGGAAAATGAAGCAGGGTTAATTTTCCTCCCACAGGCTGTGCTGGCTGGTATTATTCTCAGCAACGTCCTTCCCTACCTTGAAACCATTTATACCTTACCCTCTCTATGGAGGAAGGACCAATATGACTGTGTGAGTGTAGATACTCTGGCTAAGGAAGGGGAGGACAGAAGGGAAGGTGGGAGAGGGAGAGAAAATAAACAAAAGAGATCATCCATGGACCTGGAAAATACTTGCAATGCTAGTATTACCTTAACTCTAGTATTGCCAAGTACTCTAGTTTTGCTTAAAAAGGGGTGAGTCAAGATTGTTGACATATGAAGACAGGGAGACCTCATTCCAACTATGCAAACTTAAATGAAAGGGATTAGTTAAGTGGCTATAAGTACATGCAAATCTAATAAAAAGGGTTTGCTATAAATTGCATATTTGAATGACTTCAAATCCAATTAATGTAAATACACTCCAGAGTAGAAGGCATTGATCCTAAATAAAGAAGGAGGCCAGGTGGTTTTTTAACCAGGCAGAATAACTGCTGGAGCATCCTCCTCCTTTCCAGAGCACAAAATCAGATAACAGAAAGGGAAAACAGCAAGAAATAAAAGTAAGAGGAAAAGGACTCAAGAGAGGAGAGAAATATGAAAGGGGGTAACTTGTGGAGCTGGATCCCTGAGCAGCTGGGAGGGGATGTGGTTCATTGCGGAGAGAGTTTCTACTCCAAGAGAGGGATTCCACTTCCAATAGGGCTATAGTGAATGAGGAAGGGTTGTGTGCAGACACTGAGTGGCAGGAGATGGGAGAAGTAAATATGAAAAAGGGAATTTCAGCCTAATTTTTTTCTGTGAAGTTGAAGATAACGTTTCCTACTGAGAATGCTGGACAAGGTGTTAGTGAAGGGGCTTGGAAAGGATGGTAGAGATTTGCAACAATTCCTATAGGTCTTAAAATGGCAACCATCATTTTAAGTGTTCTGGTTGGTTTATGGATGATATTTCTAATCTCAACAAAGCCTATAAAAGGTAGCTATTATTTTCATTTTGCACATGAGGACACTGAAATTTTGCGAGGGAAGTGAAGACAGACATGACCAGGGATACATAAAGGAATTGCTAGGCAGCCTTGAGGTCCCAGCTACTCTTGATGACCCCAGTCCATGTGGCTATGGAATTTTTTCTCTAAATCTCAGGCATAGGAAGGGAGAAAGTGAAGGTCAGTGGACAGATAAGACTTGTAATTTTCTCAAGTCTGCTTGTTTTCATGATCTTCCCTTTCTCCTCATTCCTTTTTCCATTAGGCTGTTTGGATAGTGACATTCTTATCTGCAATTTTCCTGGGACTGGACGTTGGACTACTTATTTCATTAACTTTTGCTTTCTTCATCGTCGCTGTTCGTTCACACAGGTACTTTGTCTCAGGTAATGAGAGGCTGAGGGTAGGCATGGCAAGGTAAGGCATCTGTGACCTAAAGGCAAGTGCATTTCCTTTCAGAACTAAGATTCTTCTCCTGGGTCAGATCCCTAACACCAACATTTACAGAAGCGTGGAAGACTATCGGGAGGTAAGAATCTAAATCGTTGCCAAATCCGTCTTTCTACAAAATCCCTCTGCTGCCGTTTCCTGTCCTGCAGACACACATTTACAAAGAAAGTGGAAGCTATGTACGAGGGTAGAGGCGGGTTCTTAAGTAGCCGAATCCTTATTGTACCAGAGTCAGTGAAAGAAAATTTTTAAATGTCCTTTAAGGAGAGGAAGGCCAATAAAGAGAGGAGTAAGGAAATGAAGGGGGAAAGAAGAAAGCAGGAACAGCAGGGGCTGAAAAGGGATGAAAAGAATTTTCTAGTTCTTATCTCTAATACGGAAGAATTCATATTCTTTAGGACATTATAAAGATTTATTATTCTTACTCCATAAAAGAACTGAGAAATTTCCCTCAACTTCACATTTTGTCTTATAGATTATCACCATTCCTGGGGTGAAGATCTTCCAATGCTGCAACTCTGTTACATTTGTAAATGTTTACCACCTAAAACACAAGCTGTTAAAAGAGGTTACTGCTCTTCTGCCCTGCCTGTCTCTACCTGGCCTATCCCCCTACAAGCATCCTTCTACTATCCTTTGCCTTCTCCACCACCCATCCTCTGTATGAGATTCTCTTGTATCTTTCAGGTTGGTATGGTCAAGATACCTATTAAAGAAGAGGAAATATACGCCCTGTTTAATGAAAGTGATACCACCCTACAGGAACACAAGATCTGTAGGTGTTCCTGCGAATGTGATGAACAGGAGGCACCAGCCAGGGTTAGAGACGTTTCTTCTTCCCTGCGATTTCCTCCACACTTAATAAAGAAGTGCACTATTAGTTTCTTTAAAAAAAGAAAAAATCAAAACCCCTAAAGGATTTTTAGTTTTAGATGGACCATGGAGAATTCAAAATCAAATATTTCTACTCAGAAATGAAGACACAAGTTTCTCCTCTGAGGTTCAGATTTTGACATGAAAGTAGGTAGGAGAACATGTTCTGAATCCTACTGGATAGCCAGTGACAAGAGTACAGTTTGTTTGCTAAGACTGTCAGTAATTACATAGTTATGCCTATTTCCATGGCTCTTAGCTGCCTAAGCTTTAGATTTCTGGAAATAAGTTACTTAAATGTTCTGTTCTGATTCCAACTAGGGTAGGGTCATGGCCTCTGGGCTTCTCAAGAATATGCCAGAGGCTCCAACCTGAGCATGAACTAGACCCCATCTCTAAAAATGGCTGGGTGTTGTGGTGGATGCCTATAGTCCCAGCTACTTGGGAGGCTGAGGCAAGAGGATCACTTGAGCTCAAGAGTTTGAGGTTGCTGTGAGCTATGATGACACAGCATTCTACCAAGGATGACAAAGTGAGACTCTGTCTCAAAAAAAGAAGGAATACGCCAGTCTCTTTATGTCTGCCTGTGACTTAGGAAATGATAATGGAGGATGGGGGAAAGGAGGTGCAGGGGGAAAAGCACAGATTGCTATTCCAGATGGGGATTTTAAGCATCTGAAGGTTATTTTAGCTGATGAGAGTTACAAAATGTTCATTATTTCTAACATGGAAATATTCATTGGTCTAAATAGTTCTTTCACCCAGAGCAAGACTGCTCATTTCTAGTTCCTGGGCCTTTCAGTGATCACCTCTCCTTTGAATTATACTATATCATCTGTCCACAACATTTTTTTTATTGTTTTTTTTTTCTGTATAATAAATATTACCTTGTATAGTTTATCTTTAAATTTAAAAAACTTATGTCACAAGCAACATTATTTGATAATAGTTTTTTATTTTTTGTTTTAAGACAGAGTCTCACTCTATCACCCTGGGCAGAGTGCCATGGCATCATAGTTCAGAGACCCTCAAATTCTTGGGTTTGAGCAATGCTCTTGCCTCAGCCTCCCAAGTAGCTGAGACTACAGGTACCCACCACAATGCCTGGTTACTTTTTTCTGTTTTCAGTCGAGACAGGGTCTCACTCTTGCTCAGGCTGGTCTTAACTCCTGACCTCAAGCAATCCACTCACCTTGACCTCCCAGAGGATAATAGATGATAACAGATTCATTATAGATGAGTCTAGATAATAGGTGACATTTCTTTAAAAAAAAAAAATCTATTATCATCCTAGAATTAGACCACTCTAGCAAATAAATTCTTTTCATTTTTCTTTGCACCTTACAATTCTTGCCCATATGTCTTATTACTTATTTTATTTATTATTGGTATTATTATTATTATTAGAGACTAGGTCTCACTCCATCACCCTGGCTGGAGTATAGTGGTACAATTATTTGCCTTGATCTCCAGGGCTCAAGGGATTCTCCTGCCTCAGCCTCCTGAGTAGCTGGCACTAAAGGCATGCACCATCATATCCAGCTAGTTTTTCTTTTGTTTTTTTGTAGAGATGAGATCTCACTATATTGCCCAAGCTGGTCTCGAACTCATGACCTCAAGCAATCCTCTTGCCTCAGCCTCCCAAAGCACTGGGATTACAGGCATGAGCCACCATGCCCTGCCATATTTGTCCTTTTAATGAACATGTACACTCTCCCTAGGTAGAGTCTGGTTTTTGTAGATGTGGAGTCCAATTTCACATTTTGCATGTCAGTGTCTTCCTGGTCCTTGGTACTATCTTTAAGCTTTAGTAGGCATTCTGGGCCTATTATGAAATTGAAAGGAGTGAGGGTGGCACCTGTGGCTCAGGGGTGAGAGGTAAAGACAGATATACTCAAGTGATTTTTGTCTCCTTAAGGAAGTCTGACAGAGGACTGTTGTACTGATAAAAGAAAGAGGTGCTAGGATAAGGGACTGATGGAAAAAAACTTCATACAAAGTATTCGTAGGTACCAGAGAATAAGTAAGACCTAAGGATGAAGAAAAGGAATAAGTCAAAGATGATTTTAAATCTGGTTCACTAGAACTATGACAATGTCATTGATGGACATAGTTAAGTTGGGAGGGGGAGTCCTGTGAGTGGTCAGGGTAAGAAAGGATGAATGTAGCTGTAGTCATGAGTTTGAAGTGGCAGTGAGAAAGCCAAGTAAAAACTGCATGGAACCTACCCTAGGGAGAAGTTTCCTAAGAGGGAGGGAAACTAGCACACACAGCATAGTTGGTGAGTGCTTCCAGCCCTTTTTGAGTCTTATCAGAATCTTAACTCTGTTGTCCCAGATTGTTTACACAGAACAATATGTACAGAGACCGGATAACGATTCATCCTCCTTTAAGCTGATTCACTGCTCACGTTTCAGTAGTGGGAATACAAGCCAAAGTGAATCCAGTGTTCAAGTCCCACAGATGTTATCTTCCGTATCTCAAAGAAGTCAAGGGAAAAGCTTTGATAATGAGGATCAAGTTTGGTTTCAAAAGGAAAGCAACAGAAAAAGCTTCCTACAACTGCCCAACTCTGATGAAAATCAGGAGAGGAGTAGATCACTTATCCAGTACTCAGATGAGTCACAGCACCCCAGCACCCACACCATCATCCTGGATTTCACCATGGTGCATTACGTGGATCCGTGGGCTCTGGTCATATTAAGACAGGTAAGTCCTGGGGGATGTTTTAGCAGGGACTCTGCTTCTACCAACCCCACCCGGATCCTGATGGAAGCTCATTAGTCACTGCTATGTGATTGCTAGGCCACCAGAAACTTGGACACCAAAGGTAGTTTAAGGTCAATCAAAGTAAAAAGAAAATGAACCAACTCTGATTTATTGAACTGGCATTGGTTCAGCAGGTACAGCATGTTATTTTATCTCAAGGAATAAAAAAAAGGAATCTCCTAACACCATTGAAACAGCAATCTGTGCCATGCCTAGTGACTTGCAGTATACCTTGGGAGTTAGCTGCAAAGCTTTTCAAAGAATAAATAGGTCTGAATGCTACAGAAGAAAGCTCGCCAGAATTCTCCTTTGTGAGGTGCTGTGAGCCAAGCACTGTGACAAGCACTTGTGCTACCATGTACTCAGATTTGAAGAGGTTATAATGAAGTGACACCTCAAGCTTGGGGCTTCCTGTTCAATATCTGTAAGGTCTTCCCCACCTCTCTCTTCATTGCCTGCATCTTCAGGCAAAAAGGACAGGACAGAGATTTTTCCTTCACCAGCTGTGTCCCTGGGTTCTGACTGACTTTCCTACTTGCAGGTTACTGTGACAGTTCTCATTCCTCTCCTCCTTACACAGTACAGATGGTTTAGGTACACTACTGGCCATATGGAGTTCATTGTTTAATGTCTCAGAAATACAGTATTTCTTTCCAGCCAGCTTGTTTCAGATTCCAGTGCTCTATGTCACTCTTGTGTTGGCAATGGCTCAAGTTTAAATACCTAAACACTCACTTCCACTCTGACTATTCCCACCTTTGCATGAGACGTGTTCCTTTGACTGGTTTGCCCTTTTTTATCCTCAGATCCTACTTTATTGTACGTTTTTATTCCAGGAGGAATGTGATTCTCTCTTATGTAAGTCCAGCTTCTCTTTGGTCTGAGGCAACAGGAAGATTTTCATAGCAGAAAGAACTCTGGTTGGAGGTTTGGGATGTATGCTTTGTCCTGACTTTGCCATTGACTGACCCAAGATGAGTTACCAAATTGCATTGGGTCTCAGTTTCCTCATCTATAAAGCGAAAATTTTGGAAGAGATTAACATGAGGATCTCTCTCACCCATGAGCTCCTTGTCATTTGGGCTTTTCCATTTTAGGTCATTGTGCCAGGGTATGTTCTCTTCTCCCTGTGTCGCACTGTAATTGTTTGTTTAGATTTCATTCAATACCTCGATGTCGAACACCTGCTACATGCCAGACAGAGGTGGGCACATGTACAAATACCATCTCATTTAATTTTGCAACTTCTTTGAGAAACAGGCCATATATTCTCCTAAGAGTCTAAGGCTCAGAGCTAATCAGTGGCCTGTCAAGCATTTGAACTTCAAGCTTCTAACTTTAATCACTCTTTTCCCCGGTTCCACAGTACATTTGTGCCATCCTTTGCTCCCTTTCCCATCTTGCCTCCCTTTTTTGTAGTGGTACCATATGCTCTGGTTCATGGCATCCATGCATCCACACCTGACCTATGCTGATGACTCTCTGCTTCATCCCCCAAATGGAGACAACATCAGACACTTTTACCTTATAGCCTTCAGAGATTCATGGTGCACATTTGCACTCTAAAAATACAGGTTTCTTCATTCTCTTTGTAATTGTTCTGTAACTGAATTATTGGAGGAAACTATTATGTATTGTTTACTTTATAGTAGAAAACTTAAACCTACAAAAAAAGATCCCAGATTCTTAGTGAAAACCGTCACTCAGATTAAGCTTCTTCCTAATTCCATGGGTTTTCCCTTCCCAGTGCTTGTCATTTAGAATATGTCTAGTGTGGCCTTAACCAAATGACTTTATGATTTACCATGTGATCAAAAATGACTGCCTTGGGGGCCGGGTGCAGTGGCTCACCCCTATAATCCCAGCACTTGAGAGGCTGAGGTGGGTGGATTGCCTGAGCTCAGGAGTTCGAAACTAGCCTGAGCAACAGCAAGACTCTGTCTCTAAAACATAGCCAGGTGTTGTGGTGGGTGCCTGTAGTCCCAGCTACTTGGGAGGCTGAGGCAAGAAAATTGCTTGAGCCCAAGGGTTTGAGGTTGCTGTGAGCTATGACACCATGGCACTCTACCAAGGGTGACCAAGTGAGACTCTGTCTCAAAAATAAATAAATAAATAAATAAATAAAGACTGTCTTAAGCCGTGTGCAATCGCTTACATCTGTAATCCCAGCACTTTGGGAGGCTGAGGCTGGTGGATTGCCTGAGTTCAGGAGTTTGAGACCGCCCCTAAGCCAGAGCGAGACCCCATCTTGAAAAAATAGCCAGGTGTTGTGGTGGGCACCTTCAGTCCCAGTTACTTGGGAGGCTGAGGCAAGAGAACTACTTGAGCACAAAAGTTTGAGATTGCTGTGAGCTATGATGCCATAGTACTCTACTCAGAGCAACTAAGTGAGATTCTGTCTCAAAAAATAATAATAATAAAATAAATAAAAAATAACTTTCCTGTTTCCTCCTGGTACTAAAAGAAGCAAAGTCTGTTTTGATTGTTTCAACACTTTAACTTAGTGCTCAGGGTTGGCATTTAATCAGTCTTAGAGTATTAAGGTTAATACTGACTGGCTTTCAAGTAAACTTGAAGATTTATTGTCCCAGACATAACTATTGGCTGAAGTGAACTTGAGATCAGTATCCAGTTTTCACTGATCGATGCTAAATACCTAATGTTGTATTAAAGTCAAGTTCAACTTTGCAGGGACCAGCTGTGGGTGTGACCTTCAGGATTTCTGAATTCCAGTCCCTGCTGGATTTCTTGACCATGTCTGAGCCACATTTTGCCTTTTCTGCTCAGTGAACACCAGGGAGGAGGGGGTCACATGCAAACACTAAGCAGTAGTACCCAGATATGGTTGCTCATGACAACTCTCCAGAGCACTTCCATCACATCTGTGTCCATCTCTAGCCTAGGGCTTTTCTCACATAAACACCTCTTGATTGAACTGTCCCCTGCACTCTTGTTCCCCTGCCTTGAAACTATGAGCAACCCTCCCTCTCCCTCCTTACCCACATGACACAATCTGATTCTCTTTTGTATTCTAGAACTTTAGACATTTTCTGGTATAACAAGTCCATTTGTCAAATGTTTGCAGAATTTAATTGGGATGCAAAGGTACATATAACCCAAACAAGTGAATAACCAAAGGGATTTTAAAAACTCAACTAATTAGAATGCCCTTTCCTAGTGAGCGTGAAGCTTTCTGACACTGATTTATTCTTTCCATGCAGATGTGCAACGCTTTCTACAATGCCAACATTTTGGTGCTCATTGCAGGGTGTCATTGTGAGTATCGTTTACCCTATAAGAGGGATGTTTTGTACCCTGGGTCCTCAGCTCCCCAGGTGTCTGACACTGTGTGTGTTGCGGGTCTGGTTTGTAGCTTCTGTGGTCAGGGAACTTGAGAGGAATGATTTCTTTGATGCTGGTATCACCAAGGCCCAGCTCTTCCTCAGCATCCATGACGCCGTGCTGTTTGCCTTGTCAAGGAAGTTTCTGGAGCCCTCCGACTTAAGCCTGGATGAATCTGAGACAGTGATACAGGAAACGTACTCAGAATCAGACAAGGTTGGACAAACAGACAAAGCATGGGGCTTCGGGGAGGGGTTGAGGTGGGCTTAGGGGTGGTTAGCGGGGACAGAAGCCCAGGCAGATAGAGATGAATCGTGTCCATGAAAGGTATTTAAGTGTAGAAGTGCCAGAATTTAAGATGTTAGAGTGCTCCCTTACCAGTTAATAAATAACACTGGACGTAAACTACCAAGTTCACATCCCACTGTCATGGCATCTAGGCCCCATTCAGGATACTTTCCCAACTGAAGAGAGGGTTTACCCAACCAAGTGGAGACCTCAAGGATAGTTTTACAGCAATCTTGGTTAGTGCCGGTGCCATACCCATTGCTAAATATTTTAAATACCCCCCAGCTATGCTTTTAGAACTCACCCCAACCCCACATTTGGGATGAATAATAACATTGATGAACTGGCAAAGGTTATACCTGCCAGTATAATATTTTGGCTAGTATTTACATTGTGAGTAATAAGAGGTTTACTTAAATTGATTAAATGCAAAGGAGAATAATATATAAATCAGAAATTTTAGTCATTTAATAACACTAAGCAAAGTTTTGGGCCTACTCTGGCATCTTAAATCATATCTGTGGAGGTTAAAGTTTTCAAAAAAAAGTAAATTAACACACAGATGGGCACCAAATATTACCTAATGACTAGAAATCATTTTTAAATAAACACCTGATCCTTTGACTTTTTTTTTTTTTTTTGAGACAGAGTCTCACTCTATTGCCCAGACTAGAATGCCATGGCATCAGCCTAGCTCATAGCAACCTCACACTCTTTGGGTTCGAGTGATCCTCCCACCTCAGGCTCCCAAGTAGCTTGGACTACAGGCACCCACCATGACACCCAGCTAATTTTTTCTATTTTAAGTAGAAACAGAGGGTATCTCCCTCTTGCTCAGGCTGGCCTTGAACTCCTAACCTCAAGTAATCCTCCTATGTTGGCCTCCCAGAGTACTAGGATTACAGCAGGTATAAGCCACTGTGCCCAGCTGACTTACTACATTTCAATAACATTTGAGGTTTTTATGACAAAAGGTGTGTTACCAGAGCAATGTATCCTTAAAAATTCCAAGAAGTAAAAGATATCCAGGCTTTTAAAATACAGCCTTCTTATTTTTCTTTTTTTAAAAAGTAATGTATAACAAATTCCTTTGCTTTGCTGAAAATCAGCACAAATTATGTGGCTCTGCTCTTCCAGAACAGCTTTTTCCCTGATAATTATATATGAATGAATTTTTTTCATTCTGCTCTACATTTTACTCCCATTTATAAAATCATACAATCATAAAACCTTTGCATTAGAAGGAACCCTCCACCCTTGGTATATGGGGCTAGTGCCCTACTCACTGAGCCACAGGCACCACCCACAACCTAAAGCTCTTAAAGCTGTCAAAAGCAATGCTCAGCTTATATGTGTTACTCTAGATAGTGATTCTGAACCTGTGGGTTGAGACCCCCTTTTTTTTTTTTTTTGAGACAGAGCCTCAAGCTGTCCCCCTGGGTAGAGTGCCGTGGCATTACAGCTCACAGCAACCTCCAACTCCTGGGCTCAAGCGAGTCTCCTGCCTCCGCCTCCCAAGTAGCTGGGACCACAGGCGCCCGCCACAACGCCCGGCTATTTTTTGGTTGCAGCCGTCGTTGTTTGGCGGGCCGGGCTGGGGATTTGAACCCGCCACCTTAGGTGTACGTGGCTGGCGCCTTAGCCGGTTGAGCTATAGGCGCCGAGCCGAGACCCCTTTTTTAACAATGAAAATACACTGCGGCATTAGGAAGGTTGAGAAGCACTGCTCTAGATCATCAAATATCCTTGGGGCAAAAGTGGCTCCAAAATGCCAGATTCACCTCTTTAGATTTCACCACTTTATCGCCCTTGGTAGAGGGCCGTGCTGTGTCATACAGCTCACAGCAAACTCCAACTCCTAGGCTTAGGTGATTCTCTTGCCTCAGCCTCCCAAGTAGGTGGGACTACAGGCACCTACCACAACATCCGGCTATTTTGTTGTTGTTGTTGCAGTTTGGCTGGGGCTGGGTTTGAACCCGCCACCTTCGGTATATGGGGCTGGCGCCCTACCCACTGAGCCACAAGTGCTGCTTTTTTTTTTTTTTTTTGAGACAGAGTCTCAAGCTGTTACCCTGGGTAGAGTGCTGTGGCATCACAGCTCACAGCAACCTCAAACTCTTGGGCTTAAGAGATTCTTTTGCCTCAGCTGCCCAAGTAGCTGGGACTGCAGGTGCCAGCCACAAGGCCAGGCTATATTTTTGTTGCAGTTGTCATTGTTGTTTTAGCTGACCTGGGCTGGGTTCAAACCCACCAGCCTCAGTGTATATGACTGGCCTCCAACCCGCTAAGCTACAGGTGCCACCAATATTTCCATTTACTTTTTATTTAGAAAGTCATTTCTGACCAGGTATAGTGCCTCACACTTGTAATCCCAGCACTTTGGGAGGCCAAGGTAGGAGGATTGCTTGAGGCCAGTAGTTTGAGACCAGCCTGGGCAACATAGTGAGACTTGGTCTCTATGAAAAATGAAAAAACAAAACAAAGCATTAACCTGGCATTGTGGGGCACACCTGTAGTCTTAGCTACTCAGGAAGCTGAGGCAGGAAGATCCTTTGAGCCCAGTAGTTGAAGGTTATGGTGAGCTATTATTTTCCCACTGTATTCTAGCCTGGGCAACAAAGTGAGACCCCATTACAAAAAACAAAAAAACAAAAAAACAAAAAAACAATCATTTCCATTTGGAAAGTAAATAAATAATGACTTTTTTTCTAGATTTTTTCCATTTTTCATATGTTCTACTCTTTACTCTAATTAGAATATATTTCAGTGCATACTGTTGCATAATCTTTATTTTTTATCTACATAGCTAACCACTTTGAGCTATATACCATCTGTCTTAGTTCATCACTGCTACTATAAAAAATATCTAAGACTGAGTAATTTATAATAATAGAAATTTATTTCTCACAGTGTTAGAGGCAAAGAAGTCTATGATCAAGATGCCAGGTGGTTTGGTGTCTAGTGAGGGCTTGTTCCATCTTCTCTCAGCAGCGTCCTCACATGGTGGAAGGCAGAAAGGCAAAGGGACCTGAGCTAGCTCCCTCCAACCTTTTCATAAGGCACTGATCCATTCTCAAATCCATTCCTAGCACAGCCTAAAAGTCCTCACCTCTTAAAACCATCACAATGGGGATTAAGTTTCAATGTGAATTTTGAAGGCCAGACATTCAAACCATAACACCATTTAACCATCTATTGAATAAACCATCTTCCCCCACTAATTCAATTTTTTTTTTTTTTTTTTTTTGAGACAGAGTCTCACTTTGTGGCCCCAGGTAAAGTGCCCTGACATCATTAACTCACAACCTCAAACTCTTGGACTCAAGCAATTCTCTTGCCTCAGCCACCCAAGTAGCTGGGACTATAGGTGCCTGCCACAACACCTGGCTATGACAGGGTCTTGCTCTGGCTCAGAGCTGGTCTCAAATTCCAGAAGTTTCTGGGGAGAGTGCTGTGGAGTCACAGCTCACAGCAACCTCAAACTCTTGGGCTCAGGCAGTTCTCATGCCTCAGCCCCCCAAGTAGCTGGGACTACAGGCACCAGCCAAAACACCAGGCTATTTTTTGGTTGTAGTTGTCATTGTTGGTTAACTGGCCCAGACTGGCTGGTGCCCTAGCTGCTGAGCTACAGGCGTGGAGCCTCAAACCAACTTTTAAATATTTTTGTCAGGCCCCTACCTGTTCCCCCAATTCTATTGGAATTTTTGTCAGAATTACATTAAAAATATAAAATAGGCCAGGTACTGCGGCTCATGCCTATAATCCTAGCACTCTGGGAGGCCAAGGTGGATGGATCGCCTGAGTTCAAGAGTTGAAGACCAGCCTAAGCAAGAGTGAGACCCCATCTCTACCAAAAATAGAAAAACTGGCTCAGCGCCTATAGCTCAGTGGTCATGGCACTAGCCACAGACATCATGGCAAGCGTGTTTGAACCTGGCCCAGGCCTGCTAAACAATGACAACTACAACAATAACAAAATTAGTTCAGGCATTGTGGCAGGCGCCTGTAGTTCCAGCTACTTGGGAGGCTGAGGCAAGAGAATCGCTTAAGCCCAGGAGTCTGAAGTTGCTATGAGCATTGATTGCCACCACAGCACTCTACCAAGGGCAACTGAGACTCTGTCTGAAAATAAATAAATAAATAATAAAAATAAAAATAGAAAAACTAGCTGGCTATTGCAGTGGGCGCCTATAGTTTCTAGCTACCCAGGAGGCTAAGACAAGAGAATCACTTGAGGCCAACAGTTTGAGGTTGCTGTGGGCTATGACACCACAGCACTCTACCCAGGGCAACTGAGTGACACTGTCTCAAAAATAAATAAATAAAATTATATATATAAAGAGAATTGAGAATTTATATATATACTTTATATATATATAATTGAGAGTTTATATATATTTTTTATTCATTTATTTATTTTTTTTTTTTTCGAGACAGAGTCTCACTTGGTCACCCAAGCTAGATTGCTGTGGCGTCACAGCTCACAGTAACCTCAAACTCCTGGGCTCAAGCAATTCTCTTGCCTCAGCCTCCTAAGTAGCTGAGACTACAGGCGCCCACCACAATGCCTGGTTATTTTTTTGTTGCAGCTGTCATTGTTATTTAGCTGGCCCAGGCTGCGTTCGAGCCTGCCCATCTCTTAGGCTCAAGTGATTTTCTTGCCTCAGACTCCCAAGTAGCTGGGACTATAGATGCCTGTCACAACGCTCAGCTATTTTTAGAGATGAGGTCTTGCTCTGGCTCAGGCTGCTCTCAAACTCTTGAGCTCAGGCAATCACCTATCTTGGCCATCCAGAGTGCTAGCATTACAGGCGTGAGCTTCTGCACCTGGCTTTATATTGTTTTTTAAAATGCTTCACTTATAACAAGGTTTTGTGACCTTCTTCATATAAATCAATCCTAGATACTTTAATGTTTTACATTTTTATTTGTTTTTTAAATGACTCTTTTTGATTGGGCATGGTGGCTCATGCCTGTAATCCTGGCACTCCAAGAGGCCAAGGTTGGGCAATCCCTTGAGCTCAGGAGTATAAGATGAGCCTGAGCAAGAGCAAGACCCTATGTCTACTAAAAATAGAAAAATCAGCCAGGCATTGTGGTGGGTGCCTATAGGCCCAGCTACTTAGTTGGCTGAGGCAGGAGGACGATTGTTTGAACCCCAGGAGGGTGGTGCCTGTGGCTCAAGGAGTAGGAAGCCGGCCCCATATACCAGAGGTGGTGGGTTCAAACCTGGCCTCGGCCAAAACTGCAAAAAAAAAGAATATTTGAACCCAATAATTTGAGGTTGCTGTGAGCTAGGCTGATGCCATGATACTCAAAAGTAAAATAAAATAAATCTTTTCCATTATATTTTCTAACTGGCAACTACTGCTATCTATATAAAAAAAGAAACTTATGTTTATTAAATTACATCTTGTGAAGCATTTTACTAGCTCTAAGAAGTTTTACTGTTAATAGAAAATATTTTCTAAAAATAACACTCATCTCTATTTTCTAACTGTTAGAATTTTATTTCAATATCATATACTATTGCATTAGTTCAGCAGTTCTCAACCTGTGGGTCGCGACCCCCAAGACCATTGGAAAACACATCCTGAATATCAGATATTTACATTACGATTCATAACAGTAGGAAAATTACAGTTATGAAGTAGCAACGAAAATAATTTTATGGTTGGGGGTCACCACAACATGAGGAACTGTATTAAAGGGTTGTGGCATTAGGAAGGTTGAGAACCACTGAGTTAGACCTTGCAGAATAATTTAAGTAATAGTGATGAGCCTTGTCTTACTCCTGAATTAAATGAGAAAAGCCTCCTATATTTTATTAAGATTAGTGATGGTGGCTCGGCGCCTGTGGCTCAAGTGACTAAGGCACCAGCCACATACACCTAAGGTGACGAGTTTGAATCCAGCCCGGGCCCACCAAA